GGAAGAATGTGGGTACGGAGATGATTTGTTTGGCACAGATAAAGCGAGCTTGGGGCATCCAAGTAGAAATGTCTGTTAGGCTGCGGGGATGCTGGCTGGAACTCAGAGAGAGGCAGAGAGGCTGGCAGAGGTTGGTGGAGTCACGGCCATGCCAGTCATGGTTGGAATGGATCAGTTGTCTGAGGACTGGTTAGGAGACCGTCGAGAAAGAACGACAACACCTTCAACATTCACGGTGCTGAAAGATGACTGCCGTCCCTTCTCACTGTCACCTTTTCTCCATCCATAAACTGTGGGCAGTCTTTCTTAACTCTGTTCCCAGGGTTCCAGGATTGTTGTGTGCTGTTGGATTTGCAGCTTTTCCTTCAGTGAAGGCAGTGTAATCTCATCTGCCTCCCACAGCGCTTGACAGTGTACATCTGCTTTCACATGTGAGCCCATTTTTTTCTAGTTATCGTGCCAACCTTGTGAAGTAGGTGAGGACTGATATAATCATCCCCATGTTACAGATGCAGGAGCCGAGGCGCAGGAGTTTGAAATTTGCTCTAGGTCACCCAGGCAGTAAACCACGTGCCTCAAGGCAGACATTGCTGATTACAAGTTCACTGCTCTTCTGGTTATAGCCTGGCGCCTCCTCTTTCAGCAGTGTTCACTTTACAATATTTGTCGCTGGTTTCGGTGGGTAAGGCTGTGTCTCCTTCAGTGTTACACGGGATTTTATGGATTTTATTGGTGTTGAGCAAAATAGCAAGTAAGTCTTTTGGGGTTTTTTTCTTCAATTCAAACTGGATGTCAATTTGTACATCTTTTTTAAAACAAACAGAAATCCACCTAAACTTAGCTCTTAGTAGCCTTAAAAGTAGGTATCCTTAAAAGTAGAGGAAGGGGCCGGCTCCGTGGCCGAGTGGTTAAGTTCGTGCACTCTGCTGTGGTGGCCCAGGGTTCGGATCCTGAGCGTCGGACATGGCACTGTTCGTCAGGCCACGTTGAGGCGGCATCCCACATCCCACAACTAGAAGGACCTGCAACTAAGATATACAACTGTGTACAGGAGGGGTTTGGGGAGATAAAGCAGGGAAAAAAAAAAAGATTGGCAACAGTTGTTAGCCCAGGTGCCAATCCTTGGGGGAAAAAAAAAAAAGTAGAGGAAGATGGAAGTCTGGAGCAGCAGAAATATACACTTGAGAAAATGAATTTAAAAGTTTAAGTTGACTTTTTCTGGCTGTGACCTAAGGGCAAGGGGGCATTCTCCTTAACGATGAACCTCTCTCCAAGCAGGCTGGTTGGCCTCTGCGGTTGCAGAAACACTCATCAGACATACAGCTCTTCTGTTCCATCGTTTCTTTCTTTTTTTTTTTTTTTGAGGGAGATTAGCCCTGAGCTAACATCTGCCGCCAATCCTCCTCTTTTTGCTGAGGAAGACTGGCCCTGAGCTAACATCCGTGCCCATCTTCCTCTACTTTACATGTGGGATGCCTGCCACAGCATGGCTTGACAAGCGGTGCCATGTCCGCACCCGGGATCTAAACCAGCAAACCCCAGCCCACCCAAGCAGAACGTGCTAACTTAACCGCTGCGCCACCGGGCCGGCCCCTGTCCCATCGTTTCTTATGAGTGTAGTAGAAGTTAAAAAAAAGAAAAGAAAAGCCTGGGAGTCGCTTTCTTTAACTTCCTAGCAGGGTCTTCAAAAACAGGTACCTTTCTGTGCCCCTGTATTTGGTAGAAGCAGTGTCTGTCTTTAGACCTGGTTGGCTGACTTTCACGAGGTCACAGAACTGGAAGTGCCCAGCACAGAGTAAGTGCTCAAAAACTTTTATAAAGCTCCCAGCTACTGTAGCATTGCCTTGAAGGAAATGGGTCTTTGTTTGGGATATGTAAGAGACATCAGTCCTGCCACCTCAGCACTGCCACTTCTAATTGTCTTTAACAAATGCACGGGAGAAGGAAAAGGCTACTTCTCAAAATATAACTAAAATCATAGGGGATATGAAGCATGGGGTTTAAAAGGCCATTAAACCTCATTTCCAGGGAAAAGGAATATCTGCCTTTGCTGTCTCCTGGGCCTTTTTTGTTTTCATAGTTTCTCGTACTTTTATTGCATATATTGTCCCTTCAGGGTTATCTGACAGTGCTTCTGACCTATCATATGATCAGTGTTTTTCTTCAGTTTCCAACAAACTGGTTGTGGTGGAGACAGGTGCCCAGGGCAGATCGTTTGGGGAGAGGCTAGAAGGAACGGACGGTGGAGACTGCACTCCAGGTTCTCTTGGCAGCCAGGGAGACAGTGCTGGGGCTCGTGAAGGCATAACTGTGTACTTGTCCTCTAAAAAGTAAGCTAGAAGTTCAAGCCTAAGTTACTTCCCTCCTAAGAGACAGCATTTGTTGAAATACTGAGTGAAGAAATGAGCAAGTGGAGGGAAGATGTTAGCTGCAGCTGAGGTGAGGAGAGAGGCAGGGTATGACCCTCGTCTAGGAAGAGGGGCCTTCATTCAGTGGCCATCTGTATATTGGCCTTGAACTAAACCAGAAGGCCGAGGCCTGGGAGACCTGTTCTGAACTCTCCACCTGCCTGGACATGTTGACTATGGCCAGTTCCTTTCATTCCCTAATAAGTGAATAACAAGGACTCCTCTGCCTCATCTCACAATACCAAATAACGGTATTTGGTAAAATGATAGCAATCTGTCCTGATAAAATAGCCTCCAACGAAGTCATCCGTGACCACTGCACCACCCCAGTCTCTGCACTGGCATTTTGACAATAATATGAATGACAATATACTTAGTCAAAACATATTTGGTCATCCATTAGGAGGGCTACATCAAAAAGCCAAAATAGGGGGGCCAGCCCCGTGGCAGAGTGGTTAAATTCAGGCACTCCACTTCTGGGGCCCAGGGTTTCCTTGGTTCGGATCCTGGGTGTGGACCCAGCACTGCTCATCAGGCCACGCTGAGGCGGCGTCCCACATACCACAACCAGAAGGACCTACAACTAGAATATACAACTATGTACTGGGGGGCTTTGGGGAGAAGAAGAAGAAGGAAAAAAATGAAGATTGGCAACAGATGTTAGCCCAGGTGCCAATGTTTAAACAAAAAAAAGCCAAACTAAGCGTTGGCAAGCATGTGGAGAAACTAGACCCCTTGTGCACTGTTGGTGGGAATGTCAAATGGTGCAGCTGCTGTGGAAAATAGTATGGAGAGTCCTCAAAAAATTAAAAATAGAATTACCGTATGATCCAGCTATCCCACTTCTGGATGTATACCACAAAGAACTGAAAGCAGGAGCTTGAAGAGAGATTTGAATATCTACGAACAACCATGTTCATAGCAGCATTATTCACAATAGCCAAAGTCTAGAAGCAGCCCAAGTGTCCACTGGCAGTTGAATAAGTTAACAAAATCTGGTATATACATGCAATGAAATTCAGCCTTTAAAAGGTGGAAAATTTTGATACATGCTACAACATGAATGAATCTAGAAGACCTTAGGCTAAGTGAAATAAGCCAATCACAAAAGGACAAATACTGTATGATTCTACTTACAGGAGGTGCCTAGAGCCATTAAATCCATAAAGACAGAAAGTAGAATGGTGGGTGCCAAGGGCTGGAGAGAGAGGGAATGGGGAATTAGTATTTAATGGGTACAGAGTTTGAGTTGGGGAAGATGACAAAGTTCTGGAAATGGATGGTGGTGATGGTTGTACAACAATGTGAATGTACTTAATGACACTGAACTATACACTTAAAAATGGTTAAAATGGTGAATTTTATGTCATGCATTGTTTTACTACAAAAAAAAAGTTCAGGGGAGAAAGGGTAGAGAGACATGGAAGAGGCAGATGATAACTTGTTTAATGCCTCGCTGGTGGACGGCACTATTCTCTTCCCTCCGAGAAGCCAGGTTTTACAGCGGGGACTTTTAGGAGGCAGACAGTGTGGGTGGGTTTGTTTGTGGAGCGGACCGTCAGTTGGCTACTGACAGGCTGCCTGTGGCAGAGATGGAAGTCTGTTTTACCACGGTGGGGTAAACCTTAACCGTTTGCATAGAGATCCTGAGCTCTGCCTTTGAGAGTTTTAGGCATCCCGCAAATGTTCATGGATTTAAATAAAACGATCGGAGAAACCCTAAGTTATGTGACTTGAGTTTTGAGCCAGCCCCACCCACCTCCACCAGGCATCAGGTCTTTTAAAAACTGAATTTAACAAATACTTATGTAGTGCTTACTGTGTGCCAGAGATCGTCCTAAAGGCTTTTCGTATATCAACTCATTTAATCCTCATAACCCAATGAGGTAAGTACTATTGCTCTCCATTTTACACATGAGAAGACTGAGGCACAGGGAGGTAAAGTTACACAACCATTAAGTGTTGGTCCTGAGCTTCAAAGTGAAACGCCTTGTGGACCCAGAGCTCATGCTCCTAATCCTTAGGCCCCCGAAGTAATGTCGGAGACTGGGACTTGAACGACCCTGAAGTGTATCTCAAGGTCCAGAATGGAGAATGGAAATTGGGAGTAAAGTTGTTCCTCGATTGGTGATCCTGTCTCTCTGCCCCAGCCGCGGTAGGGCCCCTGAGGGCTAATGCTGAAGCCAGGGGAAGGGGCTTGTAGGTTTAAGGTCAAATTTTTTGAACCCATGGAATTTCCCTCCAATTCTGAAGCAGCCCCTCAGTGACGAATCAGCTGCCTATCCCACAGGTTTGGCTATTGGTGGAGTTTCTAGATGATCAAGTCAGGCGAAATAAAACATCATTAAACTAACACTAAATGACGCTGAGCCCTGTATAAATCTTTTTTTCTAGTCGTTCCAAGATGCGACCCAAGACGAATCTGCAACTCTGGAGTGGAAACCAGGGGGCGGGCCGAGCAGCGACCATTTTTGTTTTGCGGCCGTGCGCTCTCAGAGCATCTTGACTAATAGGACCCCACGGAGGAGGCGGGGCCTATCAGGGAGTGGGGCGGGGCCCGGGGGACGTGATGATTCAAACGGACTAATGAGCTCGGCGCATCTGGCAGAAGCCGCCAATGACCCGGCGTGTTGGGGCGGAGCCCACAGGCCCTAGTGGGTTTGGCTGCACTGCGGCTTTGGCGCATTTTCGGCTGGTTTGATTCATCCATTTTGAAGAGACGGGGAGCGGGGGGCTCGTCTGGTTAAGGGGCCCTGAACCAAGGAGCGGCGGAGTTTGAGGAGCCAGCAGCTCGGGGTTCGGCGGCAGCGGCCCCATCGGCCGAAGTTGGGGGGGGTGGGGCGCCGAGCGCGCGGGGCGGGGGGGTCCTGGTCTTTGGCTTCTCGGCTCGGTCCTGTTTCGACAGCCAACATGTCTCGGCCTGTCAGGTCAGTGCGGAGTCCGAGGCCCGGGGCGGGTTGGCGGGGTTGGGGGCGCGGTGAAGCAGCGGGGACACGGGCCCGGAGCCGGCCCTACGGGGCCCGCGCGCCCTTGAGCGCGGGGGGCTCGCTGGCGCGGGCTGCGCGGGGGCGGCGGCCGCGCTCCTCCCCGCCCCGCGCTGCGGGCCCCGCGCTCGGCGGCGCCCCCACCGGCCGCACTGGCGCGGGCGGGGTGTTCGGGCCGCGGCGCCGGGGGTGAGGTCAGCGCCCACCCGGCCCCACCCCCGCGGCCGGCCCGCCCTGAGCGAGGCGGGGCGCGGCGGCGGCGTGTGCCCCTTCCGCCCTCGGCCTGCTGGGGGTGGGGGCTCGGCCCTGGCTCCCGCGCAGGGGGCGTCCGCGCGGCGGGCGGCGCCGCCCCCGCCCCGCCTCCGGCCTCGGGGCGCCGCGGGCCGCGCGCGGGGGCGGCCGGGGCCGGGCCGCCTCTCCCGTCCGCGAGAGTGAGCTCGGGACGGGGCCCTGGGCGGTGCGGGCCGCCGCCGCGCCGCGGAGCCCGAGCGGGTTGGGCCCGGCGCGCCGCTCCCCGCCTGGCGGCCCAGGGAGGGGCGGCTTAACGGGCCACCCGCGTTCTGTGCGGCTCCCGCGCCCGCCCGCCCGCTCACTCGGTGGGACAGGGGCTGGCTTCGGTCAGCCGTTAGACTGTGTCCCGAGGATCTCGGCAAGTTCGCCGTCCCCGGGGCCCCGCGCCCTTGGGGCCTCCCGGCTGCCGTGCGGAATGTGCCATTTGCGAGGGGTGTGGCCTGGGCCCGTCTGCTGCGGGGGAATGTGACTTCCCGTGTCGATCCGTGACGCCGTCCGTGGAGGGAATGGGCCGCTCTGCGTAGCGTTTTCTGAATAAATAGGTGAAGGTTTAGTTTAAAAATGTTGAACAGTTGTTGCTTCCCCCTCCTCGTTCCAAGTTGTTGGGAGAAACGGAAGTATTTAGCCCTGAAGCTCTAAAGAGAGGTTGGGACCCCGGAAAGGGTTGTTCCCCGCCCTCGCGTCTCCCGGCTGCAGCGGCGGGCAGCGGGGCGGCCCCGTGGCCGGGGGTCTGGAGAGGGGTCTCCGGTTACGGTGTGCAAAATCGGCCGACGTGTCTCGTCGATTTCTGTAGGATGTTTATGGGGGATCAGCCCGAATAGACAACATCGTAATAAAGATTTGTTTCACCTGGCTTGGGTCTTCTGTTTTCTGGAAGTAAAGTACTCTGTAGTGAGCTTGGACTAGCATTCTTGTCTACCTTTTAACTTAAGTTTTGATGTCTATTTATTTTATTTTCTTGTTGTGACTTTCTTATACTCATTTGCCTGAATTTGTGTTCCCAGATTTAGATATTGGAACATGAACAGAACTTTTGTTTTTACTCGAAAACTTGGATTTTTAATGTCACCAGGTGGGGATAAATATATTAAGCACGTTCTATCGGTTTTTTGGAGGCATTGGGGTTTCTGCACAACTTTTTTCTTACTCAATGTGTTGTTTAAAATAATTTTAAACTGTTTGTTTGCCCCATTTGAAGGATGAAGTTAATATATAGTGGGCTTTTTGTAATTATTTCTTTAAAGTCTTTAATATACTCATGACCAATAATAAAGCAGAAATTATTAAACTTGAGTTGGGTGGTTTGTTAAATTTTGCAATAAAAATCCTGTCTTAGAAGTGCTTTTGTTTCAAGGTATAATTGAAGAATCTATGTACTTGAGGGCATTTAAGAAAAAATTAATGATAGATATTTACCCAATATCAGAATGATCAGCCTTCTTTAAAAACAACCAAAAAAAAAAAGCACATGTTGGAAAATAAGTGAGTGCATCTTCTTTTGAGGTATGTTTCTGCCCTTAGACCTATACGTAATTTTGAGGTTTTTCTGGCTTTTGTTTTTACTATAAATATTATTTTTATTTAATATTAACCTGAGGGTTTAAAGTCTTTAAAATGTACTAATGGGTGCTTGACACCAATTTCCAAATGAAAGGAATGGTGAACTGATCAGTTGCAGTTTCATTTAGGCATGTGTGCAACACGTATCTAAGTGGTTTTGTTCATACGGTGTTCCTATCTTTACCTTTTACAGTATCTGACTCATTATATATAAGTGAGAGCTCAAATATTTTAGGCCTTGGATTCAAATTTATAGCATAAAATTACAGTCTTGGAGCTAAAAAGAAATTTAGGCAAATTCGTTTTACAAGTGACTTAATGGGGACCTGGGCGAGTTAAGTGCCTTGCATAACACAGTAGTAGATGCCAAGATTGATCCTAGAACCTAGACTTTAATTCCCGGTCCTACTCATCCTCCCCCTCCCCCTTTCCTCATGATAATCCCTTTACCTTCTGCCTAATAAGTATTGATAGTATTGTTGTGTATAGCACTTTTAACTTTTTTTAAAGTGCTTTCATGGCTCTTATCCTTGTGAGGAAGCAAAGAAAATGCTGTTCCTTTTAAAAAATGAGAAAGAAAGCTCAGAGAGATTTACTGACATGTCCAGACTAGAAACCAGGGTTCTTGAAATTCAGCTTGGTATATTCTCCAGAGATCCTCCTCCCTTATTGAAAAGAATCCAAGTCACGCAGATCAGTCTGTCTGCTCCTTTCTTTGTAACATAAGTGTACTTGACATCTTGTCTTTTGCTTAGCACTTGAGATGGCAGGGAACCCCTATCGTCAAAAGTTTAGATGTGAAAGCATAGGCTCTTACAGGTTGATAGAAAATTACCTTTATTTTTTGTCATGTTTATAATTATGTTAAGATTTAACAGCTTTCCCAAGATTCCAGATTGCTTTCTTTTCAAAGAGAATTTTTCTTGGGATTCTGGATTCTAAAAATTGATATTCTCTCTTACCAGAAAATTAGTTTCAAAAAGTGTTTAAAGGAAAAACTTGGAAACCTGAAAATTCAAGATAGCTTGGAATTTACGTAAGTACGCACAGGCAGACACTTAAAAGTTTTGTATCCTAGTAAATGTGGTTGTAGGTGAGCTTGGTTCCTTATATCTCTGCTTATTCTCTACTTACACGTTTGTGTGTGAGAGAGAAGTGTGATTTTATTAACTTTGGGTCTGTTCATTTTATAACAACGCTTAAATATTCAACGTTTCCCAACATGCATGTGTTTAATTAAGCTGAAAATTATTATACACTGTTTAAAGGGTGGTGTTTAGAGTAATTTACTGAACAAACATTTACTGAGAATAAATGCAGAGTCAGGCACTCTGCTAGAGGCTTTCAGTTTATCTTGTTTTGTCCTTACTACAGTCCTGTAATGTAGGATTTTTTAATTCCCATAATAACCTGACGAGATGAGATTAAAGAATATGTTACTCGAGGTCATAGAACTGTAAATGCAGAACCAAGTTTGCACCTGGGTTTTCTGAGTACAAAGTTGGCGTTCTTTCTGTCGTACCACTCTTTCCTTCCTAGTGTCAGGCATGAAGATGGTCAGATGTTTTTTGTTTAGTAATCTCTTCAGTGATGAGTACATTCTGTGTCAGTAGGGTTTTAGCTCTATATAGAAAGTATTTGAGGAAAAATGTGGCCCAAATGTTTTAAGTAGGAGTTTTGTTCAATTCAGTATTTAAAATAAATTTCAGAGATACTTCTTAATTAAAACTTTTTTAAAAAACTACAAAGAACTTCAGAGATTAAGTCCAGTTTCTTCAGTTTACCAATGAAGGATGACTTTGAAGCCAAAGGAGTTGAAGTGTAGAAATAATAGCAAAGCTGGATTTGGACTCCACAAGTCTTAGCTATTCTCCTTTCTGCCAGATTTACATTCACTGTGTTTGACTCCACCTAGAATATAGATTACGGGTCCATAATGCCGAGTTTGAAACCATTGGGGCCCTATGGTTTGGAAGTTCAGTTTTTTTCCAAAAAAGGTAACAAGCTGCCTATACTGTGTATCAGTGTACCATGACCAGTGAGTCTGGGGTAGTGCTCTTATAATCAAACACATTAATCTCTGCAGTAAAACTCACAAATTTTCACACTGAAAAGATGACTAAAAATCCCCTCACTGTTTAGGTCAAGTTTGCCACCATATAAGCTCTGGAAAAACTTTTTTGTTTTTCAGAACTTTTTGAATTTCTAAATTGTGGATTAGAGATTGTGGATCTTTATCAGCAGAAGTCCCTTTCTCAACCTTCAGTTGTAGAAAAGATAAAATCACTTGGAAACTCAGTAGAGCTATCACTTACCGAGCAACTCTCTTTGTATCAAATATTCTGCCAGCCGCTTTACGCATGTTTCAAAATCTTAAAACCACTCTTCAAGCAAGGTATATGTTATCCCCACTTCCTATGTGCAGTAGCTGAGGCTCGGACGGATGAACTGGCCCAGTTCACCCAGCTGCTGAGAGGTGAAGCAGGGATTCAGATCCAGGTGTGGCCAACCCACAGCCAGTGTGATCTTCCTCTGAGACACACTGGCCCAGGGTGTTACTCTTTCCTGTGGTAGTAGTGCACTTTGCCATCTTTGGAGTTCCTAATAGGACTTTTGTGGGGGGCCGGCGACCAACTTTAAAGTGAGCTTGGGGAGAGGGGGATGGAGAAAAGACAATTTTTTGGAAGGAATAGGGGAACACGTGAAGGGATTAAAGGAAGATGAACCTAAATGAGGAGGAAAAAGCACTAAAGTGTTATGTAGCTTTTTGGGGAAGAAATGTGGATGTTAGATAAGTGGCATTGCTTTAAGTATATCCGTTTCATAATAAAGGCATTTCCCCCAAGTGAGTAGATCCCAAAGCCACCTGAAGGACACTACAAGAAAATGGGCTAATTTACACGTAAGTATAGATGCAAAAATGCCAAACAGGATATTAGCTAACTGAATCAGATGTGTATTAAAAATATATATGATCAGGGCCAGCCCGGTGGTGCAGCGGTTAAGTTCGCACGCTCTGCTCCAGTAGCCCGGGGTTTGTCAGTTCTGGTCTCAGGTGCAGCCCTACGCACCGCACCGCTTGTCAAGCCATG